CAGGTTGTTTGTGTGTGTGTGTTTGTGTGTTCGTTTATATATGGGATCGGATTTCCTACATTTTTCAACCGATTTCAACAAAACTTCACCTTTTTTGCCAGGTAGTGTTTCTTATTGCCTTGCACACTTTTTTCTTTATTTTTACATTCAGAATGATTTAAAAATTCCATTTACAAGACAATTGTTTATAATAAAATTATTTTCAATCGGTACACTCATAACGATTGAAAACAATGTTTTTGTTTGAGTTTGGGTTTGACCAATTCGTAAAAAAAAAAAAAACTAATTAAGACATGCGTGTCCGTCAACCTTAAACAATAATCTTTGTCAATTTTATTTTTCAGTCTTTATGATGGTCGATACTTGATCTATCTCTTACTGTTACATCCCCGGGCAACGCCGGGTTCTACTGCTAGTGATATATAAAAATGTATATATAGTTTTCCAATATATATATATCTATCTATCTATCTATATATATATATATATATATATAGAGAGAGAGAGAGAGAGAGAGAGAGCGAGACAGACAGAGACAGGGACAGAGACAGGCAGAAAAACAGAGACAGAGTGAGAAGTAATACAAATATAAAATTTGCCACTTATCTGATTGGTGTCAAATTCAGTCTATCCCGATTCTAGAGTTTCGTATACGGACTCTACCACAATTATTCTGTACACTCGTCAGCGGATACCGCCATAGGTAAACAGCCCTTATAACATATTAAGTAATGCTAAAGTAAAGTTTGACACTAAGCAGTATGACACTGGTACGACATTTATTCCACATGGTGTGATAGAAAACAGGGTGAACTGAGTTCAAGCCTTTCCTCGGAAATTACCGTATTCAGCATCAGATGGAATTCGATACCGTTCTATAGATTCTAGCTTCCGACCTGATAACCGGGATGTTATCAGGCATCTTCAGAGAAATCAAGAGATGGAGAGAAGGAGGGATAAAGTGATACAAGAACGAGAGCAGTTGATCGATAAGCAAGTAGAGTGATTAGTTTCGTTATAAGTATGTATCTACTATGATGCGCCTCATGTATCTGTTCTGAAATACAATGGATAATATATGCCTATCCCTCTGATCAGATCAATATAAATCGATGTATTAACATAGGATTTAGGATTTTCTTGCATTCAGATAAAAAAGAAATGCAGATCCAGAAGTAAATATATTTTCTATAACTGTGATACGGAAACACCAATGGATATTTTGTTCCTGGAAATCTAATCACTCATTTTATTGATTATAGGTTAAAGGATGAGTCTTATTTTTTTTTTTTTTATCAGTGTATAAGCATCGGATTGAACAAATGTTTTTCGAAACAAAGAAACGTGATCCTTTAAATGTTTTAAAATAATCTGGAACATTTACTGGGCATAAAACCGCCTACATATGGATAGTACATAATATTGTACATTAAGTACACAAAATATAAAATGGCTTAAGACAGATGAAACTTCTCACAGGATTTATCGAACGTTCCCTGCGTTCTATGAAATCTAAAATTCCTACCTATCATTATTGCTATGTCTGTGTATTGTTCAATATATTGTAATGTAATTGTCATCTTTCATGGTGGCTTATGCAAGCCGAAAGCTTAGATAGGATTAAAAAACATGTATCAATATGGTGATTTTCTTTCGTCTTTCAATGATAATATTATTAAGCTTATCAGACAATATGAAAGGAATTTGCATAAAATAAATAGACACAACTTGTATATATTATTTAATGAAACATGCACCAATATATATATATATATATATATATATATATATATATATATATATATATATATGCGCGTGTCATGTACTGTAATGTGTTTTCTGAATACGTAATTTTGAAGTTAATTTAACTACAGCAAATGGCTACATAGTTTGGCCAACGACGTAGCCAGGGCAGCAGTCAGATAGTTATGTGTCATGCGGGATACACGCTTAGACGATCATGTATCTTTGGATATCTACCTGTTAACCAGTTGTCATCCAAGGCTATAGAACCCAATCTGTCCAGCTATTTACTCATAGCTGGCGGGAGAAGAGGAAGTTTCATACATTTCCCCAGGGTATTAGCACGTGAATTCTCAATCCGAACCGCTATCCATTACTCCATCGTGTCTCCAACAGTACAAACGCTAATTTGTAGATGATGCATTTGCTTCAAAATTAGGTCTTGAAAAGTCGCATGATACGCGAATCACAACATATAATTTAAATAGAAACAATTAAATTAAACAATTTAAATAGAAACATAAAAAAATATATATATGTGATAAAATACACAATTGTAGAAGAAATAATAACTGATCGTTTATATTAAGGGCTGTCATCATGGCACCAAAGTTGTTTAGCTGTATAGAGCCGCTTTCTAAGATCAATGCTTAAAATGGCCTTGAGTGAGTGAGGCCTATGTGACTGGGTGAATACTACATTTCTCCGAACGTTATGGACTGGCGTTACAGAATCACAAACAAAGAATTGCACGAAATAATAGAATCCAAATCATTTGATGACTTTTAACAGCAGCAACACCTAAAATGGATATCACCTTTAGCACAAAAAGAAATAATGACATAATCAAGATGGTGATATTCCAATAAAAGATTTTAAATGGGAACCATCATTAGTACTGGAATTGGGAAACCTTTTTACCTGAAAAATTGTTTTAAAAGAAAGATTTTATAAATTTCAAATGGCAGTTGTATGTTTTCTTGTAAGGAATAGGTTAATGTTACCATTAACATGGCACGTGGAACTAGAAGAGTCTAACCCAGTGATCGAAATAAAGGGTTCAGTTCGAAATTCCAACCACCTGAAGAAGGCCAGAGCGTACAACGGCCGAAACGTTGTGACAAATATACCTCATCTCAGAAATATAGACACACTCTATATGATATTATTTACAAGAGATGCGCTTTAAATATCTTCACTAAGGTCAGAAAAATAAGCTCAAATATACAAAATGTAAACTCTTTTTATTTGGTTCCTAGGAAGTCACTGAGGAAAGTTTATTTTGCATAAATTATTACAGGTTTGCTGGCACAATTGTTATTCAGTGAGTTGTTTTTGTTTAAGCACTTTGGTCGAAATCTATTCGAGATCTTGCTTAAGGTAAATCTATCGGTTTTGAATTCAGTTATCCTTCTCCTAGGCTGGTTGAAAACTACGGCTAGATATCATAATCTGTTCTGCTATTTAACCCATTGTATGATTGATTCATACATTTATCAAGTGAATATAACGAACTTACCAGAATTACATCTCGGTCCATACTAGGGAGGTTGAATCTGGCTGAAGGCGAAAAGTTTGCATCACCTCATGAGGACAAGACTCCCTGAAACAGCAATGGTATTTTTAAATCAGCTTCGTATTGGACAGTAAGTGTATATAGATCACAGACAGACTTCTTTCTGTCGCTCTATGTCTTGTCATGATCGGTTTATTTGCGCTTTCCTGTGTATATCTTTCTTTTCCATTTTTTTTTCTAAATGAAATCCCCGAGAAATATGTTAAATCATAATTTGAAGAAAGATAGACCGTAAACTGATCCCTGTTCTTTTCTGTGCAGATAAGAAGTTGAGTGCATCTGTTGATGCCACGATTAAAGAATCCGAGTCGCTACTTAATCAATGGCGGTGTCGAGAGGTAATCATGGTTAGTAGATGAACGACCGTTGGAAGAAGAGATATGAAGAGCTGATACGACTTACGCTTCACAAAAGATATCGGTATACAATGCGCTGTAAGCAGATTAAGTAGAAATGGTATCAGTAGTAGAAAGAAGCCTAGTTACAATGACGATGTGATAAAAGCCCCGCTAGGAATGTGAAAATTTACAATCACACAATGATATGATGTATCTCCAGGTACAGACATGCACATCCTCACGCACACACACACACACACACACACACACACACACACACACACACACACACAAACGTCTGTGTATTTACATAGCATCATGTTTCATTGAATAATACAGACGTATTTTGCCTACTTATTTTTATACTGATACATTTCAGTTGCCAAACGAGTTTCTTTATGCTAAAAGGAATTCCATCAAGGAAAGCGACATACTTTTTGTTAACTAACCCAAGTACTTTCCATCCTTTCCAACTGCGATAAAATCCACATTCCATTGTGATGATGTTTTTTTTTAAAAAAAACACACACGACCGAGCTCTTGAATTATTTTAAAATTTTCTTTTTTCTCTTTTTAGTTATTGAATTTTTTTACAAAACAATATTTTCAATAAAATGGAGCTGATCGGAATTTGTAATTGTTAGATATACTTTAATACGTTGTTGCTATATTCCTAATAAGATCTGTTGTGTGTTGGTTGGTTGATTTTGATATAAGGTGTTGTGTAGTATACTGGTGTTATCAACAAGTATTTTGCTATATTGTAAAGATGGACAGAATATAGATAGATAGATAGATAGATAGATAGATAGATAGATAGACAGACAGACAGACAGACATGATGGATTGAATCGTGATAATGATTCCAATGTAATAAATTATAACCATGGAATATCAGTGTTTGATCCTTTTATATTATATTCTTACTCTGTCCTGGACATTAAGTTCTACCTGGATTCTATCCTCTTGGGAGTTTATATATATATATATATATATATATATATATATATATATATATATATATATGTGTGTGTGTGTGTGTTTATATATATGTATTTATTTATATATATATATCTTGTCATCGACAGACTGTTTCGCTGTATTACAGCTCATCAGTGTCGCTAGACATCCGATTGCCTGAAGCCGGGATCGAAACGCGACTGATTTGGCATCAGTCGGAGATTTTTCTCCTGTGCTATCAGATAGAGAGGAAGGTGGATTTTTACGTACGTATTCTTCGAATAAACACGCCAATGATCTAGAGGTTTCAATTCATAGAAGAGTTTTGCAATATTAGCAGCAGTAGTCATTGTTTAGAAATGCGTGCTTTCTCTCAAGAGTGCTCATCCAGATTTAAATGTTACGGGTGACATAGATAGATAGATAGATAGATAGATAGATAGTGAACAACCTGAAATAGATAGATAGATAGACAGACAGACTGATTTTTAACAATGCAATTAAAGACACGAGATGAGATGTGCGGTTAGCGTAATAGATATTGCCTCGGAAAATACAGAGTGCCGAGTTCAAATCCCGGACTAGTCTGTTCAAATTCGTTTTTATTTCTCTTTGATACCTTAACGAGAAACCGAAAATTATTTTATTAAAAAGGTAACCTTAGTTATTCAGCAAGATCTTTCTATATTTCTCTAGATGAGTTATTGTAATTATTTACCCTATTTACATTGTCGGACCGTTACCTCATCTATGTTATCATATTGACAACGTTTCGGTCGTTGTACGCTCCGGTCTTCTTCAGATGATTGGATTTTCGAACTGAACCATTTATTTCGACCACTTGGGTAGATTTTCTAGTTCCACGCGCCAAAAATTGTAATATGAGCTCTAGTAAAAACAATTACAGAAACATTAGTTTTATAAGTCCCAAACATTCATATATTCACGTCGGATGTAAATAGTTTTATAAGTCAAAAAAATTCATATATTCACCTCTGGTGTGTCCAGGTTCAATACTTGGCTACGGCAGAGGTGAAAAAAAATGGTGAGTGGAATTAAAAGCGACATTAACAGATACTGAACTGCTCGGAAGAGGCGTAGCACGTGGAACCAGAAAAATCTAGACCAGTGGACAAAATAAAGTCGAGAATATGGCACTGAATATGTGGACAGCAGACCGAACAATGAAAAAAGTGTACATTATACAGCAAACTCCTATTTTTCCAATTTATATGGAATTTCCAACAGATATTGAGCAATTTGATTATCATATATTTGTTTTCCTCACCCGCCAAAGAATTCGCAATCTAATTCCTTGGTTCATAAAGCGAGATGCACACGGCGCAGGGGTTGGGCAATTTGATTTTAGTGGGGGTGGTACAATTCGTGAATGAACACTGACTTCTTCTTGTGAATCCTCCGTGTATGAGTATGTGTGAGATTTAATATATATGGTGCAATATACTGTATACATTCATAAAAATATTTGTATATACGTACGTCTGTAAATACGTATGAACTATATATATTATAAATCAATATATATATATATATATATATATATATATATATATATATATATACATATGTATATTATAAAAGCGCTAAAAATTGCAATTTTGTTTCAACACTTCTGTCGTCTTTGGTGGCTTCCGGAGATATCAAAGTGTGGAAACAAAATTTCAACTTTTGTAGTGATTCTGTAACATGCATATCTTATACATTTGAATAAATATTATTAGCAGTCTCTTACGAATAGTGTTTTTTATTATTGGAATTTTATTCTATGTGTAGCAACGCTGTACTTTGATATATATATATATATATATATATATATATATATATATATATATATATATATAGTTCTATGAACACGAGTTTGTGACCCTGGGTTTCAGGCAAAAGCGTGAAACCTAGGGTCACAAACTTATGTTTAAAATGGTTTATTTTTTAAAATTGGGTTTATTTATGCTTGTTTAACTGTATTTGTGCTGAGACTCTCCAAAGCAAAGGCACACATGCACACATGTACGAATTTTCTCCACACAAACACATCCATATAAACAACCAGAGTTTCTCTCTCTCTCTCTCTCTCTCTCTCTCTCTCTTTGTTTCTCTGTCTGTCTGTCTCTGTCTGTTTCTCTCTCCTCTCTCTGTCTGTCTCTCTCTCTCTCTCTCTATACATATATATATATATATATATATATATATATATATATATATAAATTATAATATAATACTATTGTTCAAGTTCTCCATTTAGCCTTCCTCCATGAGAATTGGAGTTCACTTTTTGAATAATAAGAATTATATTTTATAGCAGAGATTTGCCCAAGGATACTTTTATGTCTAAAAAAAGGTCAGCAACCACTAATCTAATTCCACGTATTGAACTTCTCAAGATCACCAGCTATCTTCTCTGTTTAAAGTATTCCATTTTTCTTCAAAACTCTGCTCAATTTATTTAACTCTGCTCTTATCCATTGTTATATATTTATATATATATATATCATTTCGTGTTTCTTGGGGCCTCCAATATTCCAGAAAAGCTACAGAAATTTATTTAATTTGTCGGGATAGAATTTCTCTTCACATAATGCCCGGCTAACCCTGTCACCTTTTCCCGAAAGAACGATTTAATGCAGGCTCAAAATAAATTACGTTATTGTCTTTCTTAAGGAAAATAAATATATTGAGATCTAATACCTGAAGGTCCATTTTTCTCTCTTTCTCAGTCTTCATCTCTCACTCTCTCTATATATATCTCTCTATCTCTCTTCCTCTTTCTCACTTTCTTCTTTTGACCCTTTTGATGTCTTTAGAATACTTCTGATGAAGTCAAGGTGTTCATGCCCGTTTTTATCTCTATAGAAGAGATTGTCAACAGAATATTTTGAAGGCTATATAATTTTCTTTTTTTTTTTCTCTCAAAGTAACGAAATTTTTAAGCATGCTTCCTGCGAATCTAGAGTAAATATGTGATATAGCTAGACATGTATGATTTTTTTTCAATTGATGCCGTCTCATGTCAAGAATCAAAAAAAGGTGTAGTCGAAACCGATGACGAGACAAGATACTGATCGTACAAAAATAATGAATACAATGTGGAAAAAAGATACGCTTTCAATTTCGGCCCAAAAGTGTACGTATTACTCTTTCAATGAATGAAAAAAAGCTATTGAAAACTGGATATATTCTCTGTCAACATCCGGTTCATTTTCGATATCAGACAAGGGACTGGCCTTTCCCTTATGAGGAAATATTCGAAAAACTCTTGAAAATTAAAATAACATATTTAAGGATGTCCTTTAACTGTTATACCTAACTAAAACTGGTTAAGTTTTCCTCTATTGTCCATATTCACATAAATACAGTAGTCTGTTTTGGTAAAGTTCGTTGCCATGTCCAAACTTTTTTTGAGCAGAGGATCCCAAGACAGGCTCAGATCTACGTGGAATTTTTGGCTACAGGCTCAGATACCCCATATTAAATTCCGTCTTGTGCCAGACCTGACCGCGACGGGACGTTGATAGATATCCTGCAGTTAGAGATTCGTCTCCAGTTGTTCTGGTTAAACTCTCTGCCTCCGCGCAGAGAGGATTCCGAGACGAGATTATATCGAAGGGCAGAGTCTCATCTCGGGAAACAGCTACTTGACCCCGTTCTATACGGAATATACGGAGAAATTTTTGGCCAAGCCGACGGGCACGGATACCCCACATTGCATTCTGCCTTGTCCCACATCTGACCGCCTGAGACGGTTGGGAGTTATCCTGCAGTTGGAGATTCATTATGGAATTCACTTGACTCACTTCTAGAAGTTGACTACTCCTTCTACGCGCCGCTGGCGAATCTTATATGTGTCGTTCTTGTTCTGTTATCGTTCATTACCAACCTTCGTTTGATTATTCTATTCAGTAACCTTCCTTATGTTACAACACTTCCTAACGTTTTATTTATGGTAGTGTGGAAAGTCAACACCTTAATTATATCCTTATTTACTCTTCGAATTATATGTGCTAGACATTTTTGTTGTTTTTGCTCTTGGAAATCTCCCAGTAATGTCATTTCACTCACTGTTTCTCTGTTTCTGCGTCGAAAGTCAGTCATTCCAAAATACACTGTGGTCATTCCCTTCAATCTATTTTGAATTATTTATCTGAGAAAATGGTTGGAAATAGCAGATATACATGTACAGTCTATACATATCCTTCTGTGTTGTGTGCCATATATGACAACCACATAAGAATTTTTTTTTGATGGGTCTATTTAAGAACATGATTCGAATATTTAGTTTAATATCTTTGGTTTTTTAACATCTTTTATTGTATAAAACTATGCCACCTACTAATTTTTCTATGTTCAATTTCATTATTTCCTATACTAAAAGAGTTTTATTTATTCCATATAGCTATTTATTTGAATGATTTTGCATTTATTAATTCAACATGAAGTGTTTTCTATTCCTTAATTCATCAATCGATGACGAACCAAACTTTTAGTGATTTCAATCTCATTCTGACGTAACACATACTCATGATGTTACTAAAGTTAATATACAGAGCTGTTCGATAAAAGTGACTCAACTTATCCTTTGAATTTAGCTCAACTTTCATTTCATCGGAGAAGAGAATATTCTTCCAGTTTTCTACGGTGAAATTTTTGTAATAGTGAGCCATTTCAAGTCTCTTAGCTTTGTTGGCTTTGCTTATTAGCGGCTTAAACCTTCGTGTACAAGATTTGTAGCCTTGTTCTAACAAGATTTGTAACCTTGTTCTGACGGACTGTTGAAGAGGCAAGACTAACACCTTGCTCTTCGCTTAGACTGACTGCAATTTCTTGGCTAGTTATAGTCCCATTCTTCGCAACTTCTCTCTTGATTACCCTGCCAGTTCTATCATCGATCTTTTCTATCGTCCTCTTGTTTCAGTCCTTGGAGCAGGAAGGCATCATTATGTGCCCTAAGCACTCGAGAGACAGTTGTTTGCGAGGTTATAGCAATTTCTGCAATTTCTCCCGTAGACTTGCCTGCTTTTGAGAGGGAAATAATAGATGCCTTAAGTGGTTCTGATGTGTGTTTGTACCCTTTCATTTGGTTGGTGACTTAAGTGGCTATTTCAAGCTGTTTTTATATTGTATGATGCTGGAATACTCTAGATTTAATTTAAGCTGTTCTAGAATTCTCTAGAATATTGTTCTCAGTGTACTGTAAAATAGTTTTCAATATTTTGTCAAAAGTTCTTTAAATCTACCAGTTTAATAATTAGAATGCGATATCTGAGTTTTTTTTTCTCCTGAACCTCATTTATATCCAAATTTATAATGATTAAGAGAATACCTTGAGGTGAATAAACGTTTTTTCCTAGGTGGTCGGAAAGGGGTTTTTATATTAGTAAGATTAAAAATTATTTTAACCCCAAAAACAATGGACAAAAAATATTTTTAGTAAAAAAAATCAGGTGAGTCACTTTTATCGAACAG